CCTTGGCACCAGCGCCCTTGGTGAGACCCTCCTCCTGTCCCCTCCAAGCCTGGCCTGGCGCAGCCCCGAGTCCTGACCTAGGGGAGCCCAGGCTCCATCTCAGAACCTCCAGCCAGCTGGGGAGAGAACTTTCCTTAGACTCGCCAGAGGTAGGGAGCTGGGTGGGGCTGGGGGTGCAAGGGCTGGGGTGCCAGGTAGGGCTGCACCACCCTGGCCGCCCTGACCACAGGCACATCCAGGACACTCGGTCCTGAACGGGGCTCAGGTTCGACAGCTTTGCCCGTCCCAGGCATCCCCAACGTGAGAAAATCACGTAAGCGGTCCACTTTCAGAAATAACTTAGTTGAGGGTGTTTGAACTGATTCAAGTCCAGCCCATCCCCCAGTGTCTCTGAACAGGTGTCTCCTTGAGATGGCGATCAGTTACCAGCACCTACTGTTTTCTTCATTCCCTGGTGTTTCTCCCTTCAGAGGGCTTAGGTGGGCCTTTTTCATGGGCTTATCCTGAGCCCCCAGGCAAAGAAATTCCTTGCAAGGGGGTAATAAATTTTAGCTGTCATTTGGGAAGATTGTGCACCCCATAGTATGCAGCAATGAGGAGGTGGGGGGAGGGACTTGCACAGTAGGGAATAAACTGCTTGCTACAGTCCTTGTCTGTGTGCCTGCCCTTCAGACACCTGAAACTTATAAGGCCGTAATTAAAGTCTCACTTCTCTGTACCTCGTCCATCTCTGTACCACGTCCATCCTTTGGCATTGGATGGGTAAGGGCATTTCTCACATACTGACTAAACATTTCATATTAATGACTCCCTCAGGCAACGCAGAATGTGTATACACTTCTTCCTTTTACTTATCTGCATAGGGTGTATTATGCAAGCACTTTTGGTGCCATGGCAAGGTAATCTTTCTAAATGTTCATTTAAAATTACTTCTGATATTAGGAAGTAACTCTTTTGTTTCCCCAAAACTTCATTTAATTAATATAGTTGCTTAAAAATGAATGAAGAGCTGAAAGTCAAAATCTACTTGAGAAACAGGCTTGTGAGTTAGGAACCAAGTCTTTTCCCCACTCACTGCCAGACAGAATCACCAGGTCCATTTTCAATGGCCCAGCAAGAAAGGTTTATTTAAGAGAAGCCAACAGCTTTTTTGATCATCTACAGTACAGACTCCACGAGATGCACAGCCCCCTGCAGGGCTGCAGTAAGAATCTCAAATGAGACAGTCTGAGGGCAGCTCACTCACAAAGTCACACTCGGTTCCTTTGTGGGAAGGGTCTATATGATCTCAAGCTCAGTTTACCTCCCACTTCCAGAGGTGGAGAACATGATCGTAAAAGGAGCAAGTGGCCAGGAGGCTGATGTCACAGTTCGCCCCTTCCACACACAGTTCACAGTCACAGGTCTTGGCTGCTGTGGCGCTCTTGCTTGGGCCCTCTGTGAGTGACAGGAGAGCAGGTGCTGGCTTGACTCCACTTTGGAGTGTGGCAGGGCCCTCCCCATTGTCATCCAGTACACATTCAAGAGAAGGTGCTGGTGACTCATCTGCGACCTTCAAACTGTGAATCATGTTCGCCATTCTGGCTCCTGGGTCACCGTGAAGAGAGGAACATGAGGGGACTGGCTGCAAAGAACGGGAGAGGAGCCAGGACCAGTCGGCCCCATATACCAGCGAGTTGGGTGATGTGTGGGACAACAAGACTGTCACTTCCTGTTTCTCTGGAGCCAGAAATGGGAGAACGCAGGAAACACAATGTTAGACAGAGGTGATCACCCCCAACCCGTGGCCCCATCCACCTTCACGGGGAGATTCCCAAAGTGCAGCCCCCACTTGTCAGCAAATGCGGACTGAGCCGCCACTGTGATGCAGAGGAATCATCAAGCCGTGGACAGACGATAGAGAAGAAAACAGTAAAAGCTGACACGCTGAAGGAGAACTTTCCCCGCTTGCCTCCAGGATGCTGGCAGCCAGACAGGCAACCAAGGGGTCCTCTCTGGAAATGGAGCAGCCTAAAGTATGATAACGTAAGACACCTGAGAAAGCTCCCATGAAGACAACTGGCCTGCCTGACACTACATGGTAAAGTCCCACCCATGCACAGAAATCCAAAAACCCAGCAGAAACGAACAACAACAACAAAAAAAACGAAAGAGATGGAAGAAGAAGTAAAGACAAATTACAAAGGACACAAGGGATGCAAGATTCGACTAGAAAGTTAACAATGGGCAATGACGAAAGGCAAGGAAACAAAGAAAAAACGAGATAAAGTAAGACATGGAAAGGGTCAGAGAAAAAGTCACTGAAACAGAAAGAGTCCAACAGACAGAAGTGGAGCTTCTGGAGAAAACAGAACAATGAAACAGAATTAACATTTAAAATTACAACCCAAGAACACCTTCCAGAAATAAAAATTAAAAACCACTAAATCTATATATGAAAAAAGCCTACAGAAGTGGAGCTTCTGGAGAAAACAGAACAATGAAACAGAATTAACATTTAAAATTACAACCCAGGAACACCTTCCAGAAATAAAAATTAAAAACCACTAAATCTATATATGAAAAAAGCCTACAAAATATCTAACAAAATCAACCTAGGATAGTGAACTCTGAGACATATCCTAGTAAAACTATCACCTTCAAGAATTAAAAAAAGAAAATCCTACTCATCATAGCCAAAAGGTGGAAACAACCAACATGTCCGGCATTGGATGAATGGATAGACAGAATATGGTTTATCCGTACAGTCTCAAAAAGGAAGGAAATTCTGACACGTTACAATAGGAATGAACCTTGAAAACACTGAGCTAAAAAAAAAAAAGCAACAAAATAAAAAAAGCTAAATGAAATAAGCCACACGCAAAAGGACAGACATCGGATTTCACTTGTATGGAAAATCTAGATGAGACGGGAAGAAAACCAGTAGTTACCAGGGGCTTGGGGGATGTTTGAGGTGATGAAAAAGTTTTGGAAATAAACTGTGGTAATGTTTGCACAACATTCTTAACATACTTAATGCCACTGAAGTGTACACTTAAAAGTGGGTAAAATGGCATATTTTATGTTACATGTGTTTTACGACAGTTTATAAACAGCAGTTTACAAAATTATCAGGTCTTTCAGGCAGAACGAGCAAAAGGCTTACAGAGGCAAAGAGATCCAGCCCCATAGGCGTCTCTGCTGCAGTGGGCCGGGCAAGACCACCACGCAGGAAAGTTCTCGATGAACTCCAGCAAAGAAAGTGACAGTCCAGGATTTAACAGGCAAGTACTCCTTCAAGTGTCAAGACTACAGAAAAAAGTATTGAGCGTGCAAGAATTCAGGGAACACCATGCTCACGAGCCTCTCTGGAAGAATCCATCCAAACCAAGCTCTGCCAAACAAGGGATGAACGGCCACAAGGACTGCCGGGAGCACCACCAACGCTTCACTGTGAGCTAAGACCAAGGAGGAAACAGGCAGGGCAAGGACAGAGTCATACCATGCAAATGATGTTGCATGTTCTGAGTAAGAACATGTCCCTAGGGGGCTGGCCAGTCACAGCTCACTTAGTGCGTGGTGCTGGTGACATCAGGGCAATAGTTTGGATCCCTGTACCAGCCAGCCACTCCAATACAAACAAATGAAATGCCACTGAGAACAGGAGGAGAAAGGGGAAGACAGGGTAAGTTCACTGACATCACACAGGTAGCAGGTGGATGTCAAAAGATCATCTATAAAACTAACCTGTTGTAGGTTAAAAAGGGCACTGAGAGCATTATTGAAATATTAGTATAAGCATGACACGAGAAAAATACTTTCCTAAATATCAAAATATGCTAGAAAAAGAAAAAAAGGAACAGAGAAAGCAGACCACAGAGAAACAAATACTAATTTACTAATACGGCATGATATACAAAGAAAAAAAACCTGAAGTCTGAAGAGTGGAGCTCCAAGAGGTAGAATACACGTGCCAGTCAATGTGAATGGGCTTTAGTCACCTATTAACAGAAAAAGACTTTCAAATCGCCTCCCAAACCAAGGCCAGACTATGCTGTATAAAAGAAATATACTTCTGGGCCGGCCCGGTGGCGCACTCGGTAGAGTGTGGTGCTGGGGAGCATGGTGGCGCTCCCGCCGAGGGTTCGGATCCCGTATAGAGACCTGTCCGCTCACTGGTTGAGCGCGGTGCGGGCGCGACACCAAGGGTTGCGATCCCGTTGCCGGTCGGGGTACGGGCGCAACACTGAGGGTTGCGATCCTGTTACCGGTCACGAAAAAAGACAAAAAGGAAAAAAATAAAATAAATAAAATAAAATAAATATACTTCTAATTAAGTAATATAAAAAGGCTTTAAAAAAGGAAGGGCATGAACTGGCTAGCTGCCAAAAAAAGAAGGAAGGGCAACGGTGTGCTAGGGGAATAAAGACGCAGGGGCTGAGACCTTACGGCAGCGTAGAACTCAGGCCAAAACACGTCAGACACGTCCAAGAAAGGTGCTTTCTAAGGCAGAGCTAAAATGTGCTGTGGAGATATGGCAGTTAGCATTTATCTATGCACCTAGTGATATAGCAGCGTCCTCAATAAAGCAGAGGAGAGAAAGAGAAAGTGCTCACAAGAGCAGACTTTTAACAAACCACTCTCAGTACAAAACAGGTGGGGTAGGCAAGAGACAGAGATCCAGAAGCTCCAGGCCATCTAATGAGCATGGCAGATCATCACGCCCAGTAATTCAGAACATATCTCCTTATGTGCTCGTAGAACATTAACAAAAATGATCATGTTAATAACAGAGGACTGAAAAATTCCATAAAGTAGGAATATTACAAGCAAACAACGCTCTCCGATCATAATGCAATGAAACAAAAAATTAATAACAGTCAAAAACCAAAAAAGTCTTTCCACCAAGAAATATTAAAACCCACTACACCAGACTTGGGTAAAACAGGAAATACAAACCCAAATTACAAAATTTCTTTAAAAAAAAATGAAAAAGAAATTATACATCAGAACCTAAAAATATGCTTAAGTCAGAGAAAAAGTCAGACATAAAACACTTAAATTAACACAAACAAAGGAATAAAAATTAGCAAATTTTATTCCCAATTCAAAAAGCCAGAGAAATGGGCCGGACTGTGGCTCACTTGGGAGAGCGTGATGCTGACAACACCAAGTCAAGGATTAAGATCTCCTTACTGGTCATCTTTAAAAAAAAAATGTAGGGCTGGCCCCGTGAGAGTGCAGTGCTGGCGGCACCAAGGCCACGGGTTCGGATCCTGTATAGAGATGGCCGGTGCGCTCACTGCCTGAGCGCGGTGCGGACGATACCAAGCCAAGGGTTGCGATCCCCTTACTGGTCACAAAAAAAAAAAAAAAAAAAAAAAAAAGCAGATAAATGAATAATTGCCTAGGAAAATACAGTTCACCAAAAGTGACCCCGGGGGGGGGGGGGGACGAACCCAACCCAAGGGTTGCGATCCCCTTACTGGTCACAAAAAAAAAAAAAAAAAAAAAAAAAAGCAGATAAATGAATAATTGCCTAGGAAAATACAGTTCACCAAAAGTGACCCCAGTGGAGACATAAGGCATAAACAAAACAGTCTACCACACAAAATATGTCAGGCCCAGACAGTCTCACAGGAGAATTTTATCAAATTTTGAAAGATAATCCAAACGATGCATAAATTACTTAAGAGAAAATGAAGAGATTTGTTCACATTCTTTTCATGAACCAAATATAATGCTGATACCCAGTCTTGACAAAAATAACACAAAAGAAAACTTGGATCACCTTTTTTTTTTAAGCAAAAAGATGTAGCTTAATTCTTCAGTTTCTGAACAAATGAAATGATATCCCTTGTTCTTGAATAAGATGCCTCCTGATCAAAAGTGTGTCAGTTCTAGAGTTAATCTATGCTCAATGCAATCTTCATTAACAAACCAATAAGCTTATTTTCTGGGACAAGTTGCAACTCGCGTTCATCAGGAAACCTTCAAAAAGGATGAGCTGGAGGAGGCAGTAAGGAACCTACACACACAGTCTCTGACTTAGGGTGGTTCGGCTTTACGGTGGAGCCAGAGTGATGCTCATTCAACAGAAATCGTATTCGAGCACCCAGACAACCGTTCTGCTTCTCACTTATAGCACAGTAGCCAATTACAAGAGATACCTGACACTTTAAAATAGGCTTTGCATGAGGATGATTTTGCCCAACTGTTGGCTAAGGGAAGTGTTTTGAGCATGTTTAAGGAAGGCCAGGCTAAGCTACGACGTTCACTACGTTACAGGTATTAAATGCATTTTCTAAGTAGGGTATTTTCAACTTACAATGGGTTTATTGGGATGTAACCACCCAACCCCATTGTAAGTCAAGGAGCATCTGTATTATTAACACAGTACAAAGTCTTCCCGGTTAAAGTAATAAGGGGCTAAGAGGTGAACAGATGGCCAGTGGAACATGGAGATCCGATACCCAAGAAAGGGCATCTCCATTCACTGGGACTGGGTAGACTTTTCAATACATGGTGTTGGGACAGCTCCATAACCTAAATAGATGAGTGAACTCCAGATCAGATCAAAGACTTAACTGTAAAAATGAAACAATGCAAGTACTAGGAGAAAACATTGGCAAAGTCCTTTATAAACCAGGTGTGGGAAAAGGCTTTGTAACTAAGACTCAAAATCCTGATTGTCTGAAATACTGATAAATTTGATTACCTTAAAAAAAAACAAACTACTTCAGCATGAGGAAAAAAACACCACGGGCAAAATCAAGACAACAATCCGAGAGAAAAAATCTCCAACATATACTACAGATAAAGAACTGATATTCCTAACACATAAAGAACTCTTTAAAATCAAAAGGAAAAAAGATTAGAAGCCAGAGAGAAAAACAGACAAGAAATATACAAAGATAATTCATAAAAATAAAAATATAAAACCAGTCCTTTAATACATGAAAAAATATTCACTTTCACTCATCACTAGAGGTATGAAAATTTAAACTACTCTGAGATGCCATTTCTCACCTATCAGATGGCAAAAACCCCAAAGCAGACAACACGCTCCGCTGAGAAAGGCTGTCAGGAAGCAGGTGCTATCCATGCAGCTGGGATAAAAATCACACACCCTTATGGGGAAAGTTGATGATGTCTAATTAGATATACGTTAATCCTCCGACCCTGCAATTCCACTTCTGGGAGGTAACCCTACAGATACACTTCCAACCACACGAAGACACACGAGCAAAACAAAATACAAAGGAAGGGCTATTTGTAGTTGCAAGATATCGGAAGTAGCCTAAATGCACATCCACAGACAACTGGGTGAATAACTACCATATGTACAACCCCTGGATGGAGCGCTGCATAACCTTGAAAAGAACAAGGGAGGTCTCGACCTATACGAAATGACTTCAAGGATATATTTTTGAAGAAATAAGCAAAGAACAAAAAAATATATATAGATGTTATCTGTTATAAGAAAACAGGAATAAGAGAAAAAAATGCATGCTTATATTTACTTTTGCAAAAAAACACAATTATAACCAAAAACTAATGAAATTGGTTACCTACAAGAGGTGAGTGGGATGAGGTAAAAGGGATAAGGGAGGCAATGGTACTCGAAACACACTTTTTGTATAATTTTAATTGCTAGAATATTGTTAATGTTTTTACATCTTCAAAAGACAAAAACTAAATCAATGAGGATGAAGAAAAAAACCTCTAAATAAACGAACCTAATTTTATGAGAGTACCTCAAAAAGTTTGTGGAAAGATTCCTATGATCTTTTAATTCTGCTTTTCCATGAGCTTTTTGAAGTACCCTCATACTTCAAATAAATAACCTCACCCCCCCCCAAAAAAACACAAAAAACAAATCCAAGGAAATTTTAAACACAGTACTTTGACTATATATCCTCAATTTAAAAAAAGAACTGCAGAGACATCTTGAATTTACTTAGCTGACTTGCTTTTGGCAGCAGTACCAGCAGCCACTCTGCAAGGTCAGACACGTGAAAATAAAAGTGCAGCAGGCATGCAGCTCAAGCGGTGCTCACAGGGAAACTCACCCCTGTCAGCGCCTGCACTGGTTAAGACCGACCTCAGGTAGTTTTAGGATGAGAGGTATTACAGCGTGTTCGCATAACGAACAGAAATGATGCAGAACAGAAAGGAAGATACTGCAGAACTCAAGTCCTCGAGTAGGATCCAGAGCAGGGAAGGACAGGCCTGAGGAGTGAATACGGCTCATCCATGGCAACAGGAGAGAAGGAAGAGCACGTGCAGGTGATTCCGGAGGGCTCGTGGATTTAACGGTGGGGACATGATTCAGGGTGGGGGGAGAGAGGGAGCCCATAAGCTGAGAGAGGAGGGAAAAGGATACCGGGTGTCTGAGAACAGGGAAGAGAGCGTGAAATGGCTCTGATGATGGATCGATGCCCACAGATGTCATGGACTGCCCAGCGATTCCAAGGATCCACTGCAGCAGAAACGAGAAGTGAGACCACGCCATGGGGCTGTTTCCTCCAGCCACATTCTACGGCCCAGGCACAAGCACAGCTGGGCTTAACCAATGCTGGTTTCTGCCCAGAGAGTATGAGAAAGCCAGGGGAAGAGAGCATGGGCACGTCCGGGACACTGGACCACGCAGTCCAAACTGTTCCCGGGCAGGAAGAGTATGGGAGAAAGTCAGGCAAGGACAGTTATGAGAGTGACAAGAGGTAGAGCTTCTCAACTAGAGGCCCCAGTGGAGTCAGAGAAGTGCCAAAACACAGGAGGAACCTGGTCAGGGAAAAACCGTGGTTACAGAACAGAGATCCTGGAACTGAGATTCTGGAGTTGGCACACTTACAGATCATGGCAAAGTCTAAGGTGTGACCCTGGGAATGCGTGGAGGTTGGGGGAAGAGCTTGGCAGAGTGAGGGGCAGGGAACTGGGAAATCCATATCCCCCCTCCCCCTAAAGGCCTGGCTGCCACAGTCCCCACTCACCTGTCACTTTCTGGCAGTCCAGGATCTTAAAGCCGTTGTGCGTACAGGCCGCCAGGAGCAGGTGGTGGTGGAAAGGGTGCCACTTGAGCCTCCACACCCCGCCCTGTACGGGAGTGTCTGAAAATGGTTGCTGCATGTTCCGAGTGTCCCACAGCAGAATGTGCTCGTCATAGCTGAAACCAACCAACCATAGTGGCCATGCAGGAAAGCCAATGCTCACTTATTCCCCAAGGCCCCTAGGTGGTAGGAAACACCTCAGGAGACCCATCCTGCTTATCCCTCAAGGACTAAGTCCCCCTTCCCAAACCCAGATACCAACACTCTGGTTTGAGAGCTGGCTGGATTAAACATCGTGATGGTCACCATGAGAAAAGGAGTGAAAAACGCAAGAAGGCCCCTGTGAATGCATTCTAGGAGACTCACCTTCCCGTGGCCAAGACGAACTCCCGATGGGGACTGCTCTGAATGCTGCACACACCCATGGAGTGTCTACAAGCAAAAGACAATACTTGAGCCAGGGCCCAGGCAGGGACTCACGTAGAGAAGGTCCATGAAGTAGGAACAGGGAGATTTGGTGTTATACACTGTGCTCTGATCCTTTGTCCAGTTACCTCTCACTGCTGAACAGTGATGTGCCAGGTTTCCTGGTGTCCCAGCCTTTCAGAAGGCCATCATCTCCCCCTGTGTGGAAACAGAGAAGCCCATCAGGAAACAGAGCCCATCAGAGGAGCCCATCTCACACTGCATGAATTTATGTCTGTGAGGAAGTGCTCTTGGGTGACTTTCCTGGGTGGTTTCAGGTTGCCACCGGGGTGGGAGAGCCCAGAGATAACAGCCCAGGAATGGTCACCACTGTGCCCTATCTTCAGACTTAAAGAGGAGCCTGCGAGGAAGAAGGTAAAGATCAGCAGACTGTACCCGAAGGAATGAGGAAAGAATGCAAGGCTGTAGGGCGCCAGTGCCACGTGGCCACCACTCATCATAATGACCACGTCACCTGTGGCCAGCCTGCTTCAGAAAGGGCTCTGGCTCAAGGCCCCTGGCTGCCAAGAACCACAGCTGTTGTCTCAAAGAACTCTCAACAGGAACTGCCTGAAGGAAGCAGCACATATGAAGACTTCTTAAGGTTCCAGAAACTTCAGCACACCCCCATGTGCTTTAAAGGGGAATCACCACCCACCATCCATCCATCCAATCATCCATCCATCCAATCATCCATCCACCATCCATCCAATCATCCATCCCATCCACCATCCATCCAATCATCCAATCATCCATCCATCCAATCATCCATCCATCCATCCATCCATCCATCCAATCATCCATCCATCCACCATCCATCCAATCATCCAATCATCCATCCATCCAATCATCCATCCATCCATCCATCCAGCCACTCATTCACCCACCCACCATCCATCCACTCACCATCCACCCATCATCCATCCACCCACCACCCCTCTACCACGCATCTACCCAGCCACCACCCATTCACTACTCCTCTATCCAGCCCTCTATCCATGCATCTATCCATCCATCTACCCTCCATCCACCTGTCCATCATCCACTCATCCACCATTCATCCGCTACCCACTCATCAACCGTCCTATCCATCTATCCATCCACCACCCATCCGATAGGTAGTTACTGAATACACACTACAGAGCCCTGTGACCGACATGAGGAATATGGGGTGAATGTGATCTACCATTAAGTGGGCCAGAAGAATCAGCTGACCGAGGCATGAAGCCTGTGGTGAGCCTCAAATGTAAACTGACATTCTGTGGCAAAGTTGTACGGAGAGGTGGCACAGGCTTCTTTACATACTGGTCTCGTTGCTTTCCTTCATGCCCTGCACATCCATGCCATCAGAAAATCCTGTTAGATCTGCCTTATGTATATCCAGGACCCAACCATTTTTCTTCACCTCTAACTGCTTCCTACTCAATCTGAGACAATCTCACCACTCACCTGAACAATCTGCACTCAACACATACACAGAGATCCTCTTAAATTTTAAAATATAAATCAGGAAATGTCATTCCTTTACTCAACACCGTCTAACACCTCCCTTTTCATTCTGAGTAGAAATCAACACTCTCCTGTAGCGTGCCACATTCTCTCCCTCCCTCCCACAGCAAGTCTTCCATCAGAGAGGCGACTGGAGGATACTGACCTGAATACACGATTTCTGTTTGCCAGTAATTGAAAGCAGCAATCCAGGCCTCATAGCGATGGGCCTGCCATGAGGCCACTTTCTGCAGTCCATGTCCAGCCTCATTCACCCTCAGGAGGTGGAGCTGTCCCTTGGAATCACTGCTGATGATGTTCAAGGGCTGGTCGCTGGCCCTGGACACAGAGACCAGTGCAGAAATCTGCTGAACTCTACTAACCACCCTCTCCTGGTTCCCAAGCAGGTCCGGGAGAGGTTCTCCACTGATGCAGACACAGTGCTTAAGAAACTTGCTTGGGCATCTGGCAAAGACCAAAACTACCACTAAGCTTGTCAAAGAAACCAGTGTCAGCTTCTCTTAACAAAAATACTATCGTCGTGGGGCCAGCCCGGTGGCGCACTCGGTAGAGTGAGGCGCTTGGGAGTGCGGCGGCTCCCGCTGAGGGTTCGGATCCCATATAGAGACCGGTCCGCTCACTGGTTGAGCGCGGTGCGGGCGCGACACCAAGGGTTGCGATCCCGTTACCGGTCACGAAAAAAGACAAAAAGGAAAAAAAAAATACTATCGTCATTTACCTAAAATGCTGGAATTTTTTTTTTTTTGTCTTTTTTCGTGATCGGTAACGGGATCGCAACCCTCGGTGTCGCGCCCGCACCACGCTCAACCAGTGAGCGGACCGGTCTCTATAAGGGATCCGAACCCTCGGCGGGAGCCGCCACACTCCCAAGTGCCGCACTCTACCGAGTGCGCCACCAGGCCGGCCCAAAAATGCTGGAATTTTTTAAAAAATTAGGACAAGTAGTGATATTCTCAGGTTTGGGGAGTACAATCAAGGCTCACAGAAGGTAACTTTAATTCTCTCTGGTGTGAAAACAGGAATTGATACTCAGAGGAAACACTCAGGACTCCTAACCAATGCTCCCCTTTACCTTCTAGTTTTCCCGGTGGACCAATCCAGGGACAAGGCCAGACACTGCTCCTCCAGGGCAAGGCTGGACACTAGCTGAAGCCCATAACTGCTCTTCTACAGGACAGAAAGGAACTCTGTCAAAGGGAAACAGCCCCAGGTCCCGGAGAGATCTTTCCTCTCATTCCGGGAGGTCACTGCTCCCTCATCTGCTTCCCACTGAAACACCTGCCATGTGCCAGCACTGAGCAGGACCTGAGGACATGTTCCACACGCCTGGAGGACCTTCCCACACACGACCCTGAGGCAAGAAAGTCTCTCTGCTGTCACACCCCCTCACTGTCTACCCACGCCTAGACACTATCGTGGCGCCTACGTAGGCTCAGGGATCCACTGCCAGCACAAGTTCTGCACCACCCCAGGCCTCCGGGGATGCTGGCACATTCTCTCCCAAGATAGAGACAATGGGAACTTTCCTCTGGTTTCCATTTCAGAAGCCTGACTAGCCATTAAAAAAATGTTTCTCTTTTCTCAGACCCGTGTAAGTTTTATTATGCAAATAACGTGGCCAGTGCTTAACTCTGTTGACAGGCTCCCACTAGGCTGCCGCATCAGTGTCCTTTACTGTTTATGTGTTCCTGCCTTGAAACCTCGTCCTTGGGTGCACAGTCTTCCTTAGACATTTCCTTCCCTCATGTCTAAGACTGGGCTACTGCCCTGAGCTGGCCTGAGCCAGGCTATTCCTACACAGGCCCTCAGTTGCCAAGAACTCAGCGTTATATTGGATCTATGCTCCAGTCCCACTCACAGTACCTACATTAGTGTGCATCCCTCCTTCCCAGAGTTAGGGCATGATTTCATGGGCTATTTACATCGCTCCACTACACAACGTCCCCAGTTCTCCCTCCTCCCCAACAACAATCACATGAAGTCATTTTGCCAACGCATGGTACAGTCTCACTGTAAAACACTTGGAAAAACTCATATAGAAATCATTTGCTCTCCTGATAATCAGTGAGAAATACCATTTTCACATAGGAAATTGACTGTTATTTTTAGCCTCAACCCAAGACATTCTTGCCTAGGCTTTCCTTACAGAATGTTCATACCCAGTGACAGGTAAACAGCCCGTCACTTCAGCGCTTCTGCTGGTGATACATGAGATGACCTCCTCTCAGTTAGATGCAGACCCAATACAATTCAAAAAAGACTCCATGTTCTCTTGGAACAATTATGATAAAGCTCATCATTGAAAAGGGACCATTCTAGAAAAATATCTGTACCAACACAGCCTCCCTCCCTAACCCTCTCTATTCAGGTCCCTTCTACTCCACAGATCCTGCCCCAGCAACTGACCTCAGATCCCACCAGGCGGAGCAGCTGTATGGATCCACTGGCTTCTGCCAAGCCCAGGAGGGCATGGCCGGATACTGGGATGTGGCACCTAAGGAGAGAACTCACCTGTCAGAACTCAGGATATACCGAAAGCACAGGAGAGCATGCCATAACTTATTATTTAAATGTCAGCTCCAAAACCAGTTAAAACCTACAACTCTGTTCCCAATTGATTCCCTAACTTATGACAGCAGAATACCTACATCGCTTCCCACACTGACCTGTCAGGGCTAGGACACTGCTGAGTCAAATGTGTCCCCAAAAGTCCATGTAATAGAAACTTAACCCCGCTGTGACAGTGTTGAGAGTGGGAAGTCGAGTCGTGGTGTTTGAAAGGTGGAGCCTTTTAAGAGGTGACTGGATTGTGAAGACTGTGCTCTCATGAACGTATTAATCCACTGATGGCTTAATAAATGCCAGTGGCTTGGTTCTGCCATCTTATCTTCTGAAGGAGAGCACGTGAGGAGGCTAGCTCTCCTGCTCGGCCCGTCCTCGCCACGTGACACGCTGCTCACCGCAGGACTCCGCAGTGACCACTAAGAAAGTGCTCACTAGATTTGGGCCCAGCGCTTTGAAGTAAATGTTCCTTCTTCATAAATTACCCAGTTTCCCGTATTGTGTTCTAAGCAACAGAAACAGACTTATACAGAAACCGATAAAGATGAGCCGCAAGAACAGCCCCTGCAAGTGCCAACAGGCGGGCAGGACAGACGCCTCCCTGTCTCCTTGAAGGCTGTGAGGCTGGCTCAGCTCCCTGATCCAGTGGAGAGAGAGGACAGGCTCCAGGCCGAGCGGCGTCCCCGAAGTCGTACCACTTCATGTCCAGGATCGCAGCAGTGTCTCTCCTGTGGACCTCAGCCAGAGGGCAGGCAGAGTCGTCCTCACCGGCCCTGTACAGGAGGAGGCGACCCTCACGGACCTGCGGCTCGTCCACGTCCGGCTCCCTCTAGAAAGCGCAGACGTGTTCTCATCAAGGGACGGGAGAAGGGAGCCGCGGAAGGAAGTGTGGCCGCGCTGCCCGGCGTCCCGGAGCCCCAGGGCCGCGCGGGGCCGC